TCCTCACGAGCTGCAGCGGTTTGAAGTCATTTATCACACTCCTATGGGTCCTGTCTCGGGTCTTTATGGGATGCTAATTTGATGATTTGCTGTGCCGGTCCCCAGGGCGCACTTCTTAAACAATTTAAAACACCGCACATTACTGAAATCACTTTGATTGCTAATAGGTGCTGAAACTCAGATGCGTGACTGCAACTTATGCCACATCTCAGTTCCTTAGCAACGGAGAGAGAAAACAAACAAAACTAACCAAACAGCCCCACACTGACCCATAATCACACACACACACACACACACACACTACCAGATGAATGAATCAGCGCTTCAAAGTAAACAAGTCGAGCACAACAGTCACTCAGGCTGGAGGATCTACCACTCTACTGTACTCCCTACTAGGACGCCTTAGTGGTTGCTAGGTGGTTACTAGGGTGCTTTGTGTTTCCTATGCAATTACTAGGGTGCTTTGATGGTTGCTAAGGCTTTACAAGCTGGTTACCAGAATGCTTTGGTTGCTAGGGCATTGCTATGGAGTTATAGTTATTTGTGGTTGCTATGTGGTCAATTGAGTGGTGGTTGTGAAAGCATCACTAGGTAGTTACCAGTGCTATGTGGTTGCTAAGTGGTTACTAGAATGTATTGGTGGTTGCTAAGGCATTACTACTGTAGGTGGTTACCAGGATGCTTGGTATTTGACATTCGGTTACTATGGTGCTTTGTGGTTGCTATGCAGTTACTAGAGTGCATTAGTACACACACTACCAGATGAAAGAATCAGCGCTTCAAAGTAAACAAGTCGAGCACAACAGTCACTCAGGCTGGAGGATCTACCACTCTACTGTACTCCCTACTAGGACGCCTTAGTGGTTGCTAGGTGGTTTCTAGGGTGCTTTGATGGTTGCTAAGGCTTTACAAGCTGGTTACCAGAATGCTTTGGTTGCTAGGGCATTGCTATGGAGTTATAGTTATTTGTGGTTGCTATGTGGTCAATTGAGTGGTGGTTGTGAAAGCATCACTAGGTAGTTACCAGTGCTATGTGGTTGCTAAGTGGTTACTAGAATGTATTGGTGGTTGCTAAGGCATTACTACTGTAGGTGGTTACCAGGATGCTTGGTATTTGACATTCGGTTACTATGGTGCTTTGTGGTTGCTATGCAGTTACTAGAGTGCATTAGTGTTTGCTAAGGTATAAAAAGGTGGTTACCAGGATGATTTGGTGGTTGCTAGGGCATTGCTATGTGGTTACCATGGTGTATTGTTGGTTGCTAAGGTGGTTACTAGGATGGCTTGGTGGTTGCTAGGGCGTTGCTATGTGGTTATTAGGGTGTATTGATGGTTGCTAAGGCATTACTAGGTGTTTACAGGGTGCTTTGGTGGTTGCTAGGGTGATGCTATGTGGTTATCAGTGTGTATTGTTGGTTGCCAAGGTGTTACTAGGTGGTTACCAGGATGGCTTGGTGGTTGCTAGGGTGATGCTATGTGGTTATCAGTGTGTATTGTTGGTTGCCAAGGTGTTACTAGGTGGTTACCAGGATGGCTTGGTGGTTGCTAGGGTGATGCTATGTGGTTATCAGTGTGTATTGTTGGCTGCTAAGGTGTTACTAGGTGGTTACCAGGGTGGTTTTGTGGTTGCTAGGACGTTGCTATGTGGTTACCAGGGTGTATTGGTGGTTGCTAAGGCATTGCTAGGTGGTTACCAGGGTCTTTTGGTAGGTTGTGAATGATTACAGCAGTCGCTCATCTGCTCAGGTTGGGACAGACTGTTCTAAACACGTTACAGATCTCTTACTTTTCATCTTTTTCCCTGCATGGAATCCTCTGGGATGTGAAGGTCTGTTGTTGATTGGATACTATAGAGGAAGAAAACGGCTGAGGGTTTATCTGGGAGCTCAAATGTTTGTGCTCATCTTTCTCTTTGATATTCAGCGCTGAACAATGGCTGCTCTCTGTCTCACTTTCACCAGCATTTCCACACAATTAATTGCTGTTTGTTAATGGCTGCGATGAGTCACTGAGATCAGGAACACGAGGAGGAACTTATGAATGGAGCAGCAAAAACAACTTTCTTTCTTAGTATTGACTGTTGATGAAGGACGGGATCAAATCAAAGGCATAAAAACTGAAAAGCCTCAGAAGATGATTATTCATTCAGTGGCAAACATCTTGTTTTCCATTACTTTCCGTCTCACATCCTTGAGTTTAGACTATTGTGGCATCAGACACTTGAGTAACTCTGGAGCCAGTAATGAGGTCCAGCATTACAGAAATCGATGCGCAAATGTTATTAAAAAAATAATAATATTTTATATATCTCAGTCTGATAACAAGAGTGAATTTTCACATTTCAAATGGCCAGATATTATTTTTCCTTGCCAACATTTGTGAAAAAAAAAAAAACTTTGTCAAATTAGTGTCATGGGTAAAAACAAAACGTATAAATAGATCGGTTTTTATATTTTCATTTTAATTCATGTTTTACTAATTTTGCTGTGCATTTTTTATATAGGTCTATATAGTTTTTTTTTTTTTTTTCCAGTGTTAGTTTTACTTATTTTAGTGCATCAAGTTAAACTAAAATACGAAATGAATTTTTATATGTGTATAGTTTTTATTCTTTTTTCAGTTTTAGTTAACTAAATTAAAATGAGAAATTAAAGTTTTATATTTGATTTCATTTTACTTGTTATCGTTTACTTAATTTCAAGTAACTAATTTTAATGATTTTAATACACAATTATATTAAAACCAAATTTTTATGTAATTTAATGTATATAAAATTTCTCAACAATAAACTAAAGCGGTTCAAGTGCTCCCTCTAGCGGTCACTGAATGAACTACTATTATGTAATCTTGCGTCATCAGAAGGCGACATGTTTAGTTGCCTTACATGCTGAACGCGTCCTTGGGACTGTTGCACTTCAGAATATGACAAATTGACACGTATTAGTTTAATAACAGTTGCAGAAAGTATATAAAGTGATGAACCGTCTTTGGTAAGCGCTTAGAATATTATTCTTTCACAAAGCTCGACTGTCAGCTAAATAATAACGTGTAGTCAAATCTGTCTGTGTTATTGTAATGTTATTGCTATGTAGACGCATGATTTCTATTGCGGTTGTCGACAAACCTGCAGACTGACTGAGGAGAGATGAGCGCTCTTAACGCCAGTGGACGCAAAGCCTGCTGGGACGCCAGAGACGAGCTCTGGAAGTGTCTCGATGGCCATCAGGATCAAACATCTGTCTGCGAGAAACACCAGCGAGAGTTTGAAGCCAAGTGTCCTGCCCAGTGGGTCAGTCCTTAGTCCTGAGTGCAGCAGAGACAGCAACATAGCTTTTGAGATTCATAAGGTTTTATATATGAATCTCTGACACCTGCTTGCAATTTGAATGCATTTGCAGCAGCTGTCATGCATAATTGAGATTTCTTGGAGCTTCGTTACTGGCTTCTTTAACTTATCTTTTATTGAAAATGAAACCCCAAAATTTGATTTATGTTCCCTGTACATTTACATGCTACAAAATAGCATGCAATATTTTCTAATAAGTGCACTTGTATTCCACTCTGAATGTAGAAGTAGTACACTTTAGCATACTTTTAGAAAGAGCGCTTATTACGGAATAGTATACTTTACAAAATGTATAAAGAAAATACATAAGAATTTAAATGCAATTACTGTGCTTTTTTGACCCACCTAAGTAGGACTTAAATAGATCTTGTCATGTAATTACATATGGTATGCATTTATGTCATTAATTTCGTGCATTTAAATATATTTGTAATTGCACGTTTGTAGTGATGAAGTTGCAAGTTAGTACATTTAAAATATATTTTAATGTAACAGGCTGTGGATACAATTATAATCAAACAAGTGTACTTCTTTAAAGCATGACAAAATATGAAGTAATTGTAAATGTCATTTTAAATACAAAAAAAATATTTATAATATAATATATAGTTTATAGATTTTACGTAAAATAAATTTAGTTTGATAAAGAATTGTAATCTAATATATTTCCGTTTTTAGCTGATTCAGACTTTTATTATGTTTAGTAAGTTTTTCCAGATATTTGAATTATTTTATTCTTTTTTTTCAACATGAATAGGCTGTGTTTTCAAAATATATTTTTTTGTAATGTAATATATATAATAGCATTAAGAAAAAGATTTTTCAAATTATTTGTGTATAGTTTTTAGTTAAAATAATGTTTTATTGAAATTGTCTTCATATTTCCCCCCTTTTAAAGTGATTAACGAAAAGAACCAAAACAAATAAATAAAATCAAAGACAAAATAACTTTAATACAAACTACTGTCTCTCTCTGTCTTAGTTTTTATCAAGTTTTGTTACATTTATCAGTGACTATGTATCATATACAACTGATCACTTTTCATGAACAGACATGCAAGTGTCTCTCTTTAAGTACACTTAAGTGGTCTTTTAGTTTAGCAATATATTATCTACAAGAACAGCGTTTTAAAAATATACTTTTAAGATTTGAAGTACACTACAAGTGCACATTTAATACAGTTTTTTAGCAATATTCTGTTGACTTTATCACTGAATCTGCATGAACTGATTGGCGTGATTCATTCGCAGGTGAAGTATTTCGTCAAACGGAGGGACTTCTTGAAGTACAAGGAGAAAATACAAAACGAGGGTTATGAACCAACTGAAGGAGCGTCAAAATTATAGACACGGGAGGAAATGAAAACACTGGACTCTGACAGTGGAAACTTCTATGAAACATTGTGTTTTTGTCTCGTCTGATCATTTATCTCAATGCATCTGTACTGTATGGAGCTTCAGTGGGATGTTTGAAATGCAAAATAAATAAATGACCCAAAAAGACAGTGTTTTATGATGTTTTCAGAGATGTCAGGTGAAAGAAATCGATCACAGAACATATTACAACGATTCGCTGCCGACAGTAACAAAATGTTAGTTTCCTGTATGTACAACGATCAGCGGCACAGAGGTTTACTCAATTTACGATTGCCAGGATTTGTGTGTAACGTTTGAAACTATCTTCCATAACCAGACCACATGAGCTATGTAACGTTTGCTAAGAGCATGTTAGATACTATGCGTGATTTCAGCAGCGACTTCATCTGATGCACAAACCTCTGAAGGAAATAACGCAAATGCATCGCGGCATTTGTTAGACGTCAGAAAATAAAGCAGTCTGTGTTTTCACACAAACATCGCTGATTGTGTTTTGTAGGCACGTAAACTTGGAGAGCTGTTAATCTGCATCTAATGCTTTGCTATATAGAATGGTTTCCAGCGATCGCACAGTTCATTCAGTCCCAGTGAGCAGTTCTGCATCCTCCGACGGACGTCCTCTTACTCCACGGATATAAAAAATAAGGCCTTAATCACGTATATGTGCCTGCTTCAGTGTATGTGCCATGTCCTCGATCAAACACAGCTACAAGCTGCCCGTGACGTTCGGCATCAGAGCCCAGGTGGGAAACTCGCTCAGGTGGAAGAGCGGCTCGCCCCACGTCATGATGGCCAACATCACCACAAAAACCCCGATCAGATTCACTCCAAAACCGGCCTTCACCTGAAAAACACGAGGAGACAATATAACGTATGTCAGTAAGCAGGTATACCAGGGTGATGGGCAAAAAAAAGTCACTTTACAATTAATACTGTAAATGACCTGATTGTTGTGCTTCCCAGACTAAAGTAATATACTGTATATGTCCCTAGTAAGTGGTTTTTACAAGAATCATTCAATAAAACATACTGTATGTGTTAAATATAAATGTAATGATAAATAGATGATACAGACATTTAATATGTATTAAAACAGACATTGTTTGAACACATCAACCAAACTCCAATTTCTTTCATCGTGAATGTGCATTTTTTTGGCCTACGTGTTTCCACAATATAAATGTTTTAATATACTATAATATAATGTTTAGATTATAGATTTTAGTTCAAATATAAAGTTAAAAATAATTAAATATTTAATAGTCAGATATGTTCCCCTTTTAGCTGATGCAGACATTTAGTACGTTTTAAAATGAAAGGTTTTTCAAAACACATCATCAAAAGCCAGCTATTTTATTTATTTATTTGATTGTATTTCTTTCAACATTAATTGGCAATTTTGGCCTTTGTTTTTCCACAATATAAATGTTAATATAATATAATATTTAGTTTTTAAGGTACAATAGTTTTTTTTTAATTATCATAAAAAATTACAATATATTTGTAAATAATTGTAATCAAATATGTTCTCCTTTTAGGTGATGTAGTTTTAGTTTAAAATAAAAACAAATACATTTTTCAAAACACAATCAAAAATCTAGATATTATTTATTTCTTTATTTTTCTTTCATCATGATTATGCTTTTTTTTGGCCTTTCCACCCCTCTGTGTTTCTATAATATAATCAAATAGAACAGAAATAAAATATTTGTAATTATGTATATAGATTTTAGTTAAAATAATATTTTATTTAAGAGACCTGAAATTGTATTCTGAATACCTTCCCCCTTCTAAACTCAAAAAAAATTATTAAATTAAAAAATAAAATAAATAAAAGTATTTTCAAGACAAGCTATTGTCTCTCGCTGACTTTTTTCTTTTTCTTTTTTCTTATTCATTTTTTTTATTCAAGGAATATTTTTTATATATATGTTTTTATATTTTACTTTTTGATAAGGAATATTTTTATATTCCTTATTCAGTTGTGTTATATTTATTAGCATAAAATGATTCTTTCAAATGAGCATCTTGTAGTTTTGCATATTAAAATTATATGCAAAGCTGGAATCCTAGTTCATCCTAGCCCTGTTACCTTTCTGAAGTCCTAATTATGTGCTAAAATATATTAAATTGTTAATTGATTTAGCACAATTAGTTTATTTAACACTAGCACATTATTTGTCTGACATACTGTTTAAAATCATAAGGAGGTGTACTCAGTTTGCTTATGAAAAACAAATGATGCCCCGGCGTTGTTCCTGGCGCAGCTGTGAGACGGGACGGAGCTGATATAACAGCCTAATGTTGAGTCATACCATGTCGCTGATCTGCACGTGTCCGTAGCTGAACACGATGGCGTTCGGCGGGTTTCCGACCGGCAGCATGACGCCGAAGGACACACACATGGTGGCGGGGATGAGTGTGTGCAGAGGGTTGATGTGCAGCGTCTCGGACTGAGGGACAGGAGACAATAATAACAATAACACCTCCATCTATGTGTGTGTGTGTGTGTGTACGCGTTTTTGTGACAAATGAGGACATACATTTGTATAATGACAAAGGTATGACAGGTATTACAAGGAGAAGGTGACTTTTCAGGACATTACCCCATGTCCGCACTTTTCAAAACAGAATGGAGTGTATTGAAAATCTGAAATAGCACAAAGTTTCCTGTGAGGGGTAGGTTTGGTGTAGGGTTGGTGTAGGGCAATAGAATATACGGTCTGTACAGTATAAAAACCATTACGCCTATGGGATGTCCCCACTTTTCACAAATG